TCATTCTCTTCCTCTCAATGCCTAGAATTGCGGAATCAGGTCAAAAATATAAAAAATCAATTATTTCACTCCTAAAATGGGGTAAAACGGGAACTTGCTTTAATTTTAGCATTAATTATGGTCCGAAAATAATTTTAACCACATTGTTTTTTTTCCTTTCGTCGAGATCTTTCATTTGAGTCCTCGATCAACCCCGTAGCATTATTAGTATATAAGTTATGCACATTTTCATATTTCACAGCATTCCGCCTATATATCATTATGTCATTATGTAACAATTTTCAAAAAAAAAAAATTTTTGTTCCCCATAGTCTTACGAGGAGAAACTCTGGGAACTTCCTCACTTGGGAACATTCAGGAAATCTTTGGAAAACGAAATTTTTTCCATTCAGGATGTTTCTCAAGATTAAAGTTCAATGAACCTTATCTGTTGTAAGCAATAGTCAAGCTTTATCTGTATATTTCAATTTGATTCTGTTTTTATTACTCGTAATTATCGATAATTATAATTTAGAGAAGTCGATTAGATTTCATAAGGTCAGATGTAACTCAGACTAATAAGAAATTAAGATTATGATATAATTCGATTGAAACTGATAAATTAAGAACAACTTGACCTAATTTTTTATTATTATTTGTATTGTTTCTGAGTTTGTCTTTCAATTTATATTACGGAAATTCTTCCAATGGCCACAAGGACACAATATCTTCAGCATTATATCCAGGACCCTATTCATAACAGTCTACATTTATGTCATTGCTTGGGTTAAATTGACTTAAGTTAAATGTAATTGTATTAGATTTCCAATTATCAGAAGCTTTCAGTTTATTTAAAATTATTACAATATTTTTTGAATCAATAACTCACAATAATGTTATTAATGAACTATTATGTAGATTACTGATAATGTCAATAATAATAAAATAAAAATCTAATTACAAAATTCAGCTAAACCTCATTATGCGATACCAAATGAATTTTTGATCCAAATTATATCAATTTTGAGAGTTACTACTTAATTCATTTTATTGATTAAATTAATGCATCTATGTGGTAATTTACAAGTTTATGATGATATCGTTATAAATTAAAAGCTATCAGAATTCGTAATCCTTTAATTAAACTTTACAATTATAATTTTAAATTAATATTTAAATGAAAATTTTATTTAACTGAATAGAGAATGTTGTAATCATTCATTCTAGATCTTATATGTTAATAAAATATGAATAGATGTTCTAGTATGTATTCGTTAATATATTTATTTAAAACTTTGAAATTAATTTAATTTCAATGAAATATATTTTCAATAATAATTGAAAAATCTCATCAACATACTCTGTCGTATATTTTATTACAATCCATGATATTACATTAATTAATAATTGATGTTTACAGAGAAAAATAATAAATGATATTTATACATATGTGTTTAAATGTATTGATATGTATTTGAAAATCAAATGAATATGTCGAGGAAATAGTAATTATACTAATGTGAATAATATTCATCTCCGATATACGTAAATAGAAATTTGATTTTTCAAATAAAATTGCACATTGACACTTGAACCGTAGGATACAGTACGCACCAACGAATTTGGTTGTATCACCCTTCCGATAATTTGAGCGTGATATCATGAAATGGTTGTCGACCAACAATAAAATCGGGTCCAGCTGAATGCACTTTTGGAATAAATCATGCAGAGCGACGTGAACTGTAAAAAAACTCTACTTCAACTAATCGATGACCAGGTTAGCCAATCCGATGCACTGCACACGATAAAGCCATTTATCAGGCATGTAATATTTATAAAAAAAATTCTGTAATCATTTGGCTATACACTATCCAATTAAACTCGCAATATTTGAGCATGAGTGGCTGTAGGCGGAAGTAAAAAATAAATTATTTCCGCCTGTCGAATTTATATTTATGTAGTAATTGATGAACGATAACCGATTGATCAATCGTTCAGTTATCTGTCGGCCAATAAAGTATTTTTCTTGCTCAACGTTGTTTTTTTTTTCACACATAAACTACGGTGAAAATTAAGTTCTTTGATATACATTTTAACTACATACGTTAAATGCAACATCAAAAGTACGAAAATCTCTCGATAGCTGTGAACATAAACGCGTGGAAGCGTTAAAAAGCTGATGATATGAGTCTGAATATTTGATCGTGAAAGGCAATGTACTAGAAACATAAAACCTTTATATTACAAATGTTAGGTAATGATCAATGTTACGAGATCGAGTTAACCCTCTCTTTATTCTTTGCCATCTATATACAACCACCAAATAATATTCATGGGGTGTTTTTACCTCTACCACAGTACTTTACAATGGTATGGTATTGATTTAAAAGTTCATTCGTGTTTTCATAATGCTGTATCTGTAAGTACTGACGCCCATTTTATTCCCTCATCACCCTTCGCCTGCAATATCCTCGATCCTCCAAATGTGTGAGCGAGGTTTTAGCACCCCTCCTATACAGATATACTGACTGACCAATTAAATCCCAACTAATCATGAAATAAATGCCTTTGTCGTCCAAAATAAAATTATTAAATAAAAATTAACATTCCAATTCGTTAGATACTACAACTAGATATTTCTATTCCCTCTTATTCCTCATCTTCATCTCCTTCTCTTTCTCGATAAAAGTTTATGAAATATATTCGGTTCAATGAGTAAAAAATTACGTTCACTCATCTACCGGACGTGAAGAAAATTGTAATCATCATTCCACTGCCGCATTGCGGTTGTCTTTAAATTATTTTCATGATATTTAAAGAAATAATGGACAGCGGATATGCAAAAATTGTCTACATTAAAATATTCAAGAGTTTTTTTCAGTTTTCAAAAGACTTTACCTTTTAATATTCGTAACGAGTTTCTTGTTACTAGGTATAAAAAGTAAACGCAAAGGGCTACAAGGGTTGTACGAGTGGTTTTTACTATTGATTATGGAATTAAAAACGCGCATGTATAATTTGGCGATACATTTATTTTGTATATGACTGCAGGAGGCGCGCTACAACTGGTAGATTACATTTTACCCTGTATTTACCGATAGATGACGTTAAGGGTGAAATTCTACTACCCCTAAGAGCTTTTAAGCTCATGGTAAAGCTCATGATATCGCTGGAGGAATAAAAGCTCTGTAGAGGGTTGAAATAGAAGATTCCAGTGGATTGTTTGCTTTATTACCGGCTGTTACGAATTATCAGCAGATGTAACTACATATTTTAAAGCTTTTAATCGATCGGAAAGCTCTCAAATAATTGATCAAAATTTTATAAAAGATACAGTTGATTTGTTGTTTTGAATTATTTATAGGAACGTTGGTAACAAGATCAGTGAACTGGAAGAAAAGAAATAAAAGTATTATCTCTTATTAATAATTTATTTTGCAAAATAAATTAACATGTACAACATGGTATCTTATAGCAATGAGCACTAATTGAATCTTCACACACTTTTATGAGATGTATTAAATTATTTTAGGTAGCACAAGAAGAATATTTTACTTTCAAGTTATACATATCTCTAGAGATGAAATTAATTAACAATAAATCATTGAGATTCAATTTAAAAAATATATATTAAAATTTTAATGTGTTTGATATTTTAGAAATAAATGTATCAGACATTCAGAATTAATTTTTTTTATTGTTTACACGTAAGTAATTATATAAAATGAATTATTTTTTGATCATTTCAAAAGTGTCAAATTTTTATATTTTTCTATTTTTATTTCTTATATCGTAATTTTTTATTAAGTATTGAATTATACACATATTAATCTAATTCATCCTTTTAAAATAACTTAAATAGCTAAAAAAAAAGTACAACTAAATAAAGAATTATTTTAAATGTAAGATTCTATAAAATTTTTGTGCAAATTTACCTATTTTACATAAGCTTTGTGACTTTTATGTATGAATAAACATATATGTAAAAAGGCCTTAATACTTAAGACTAAAATACATATTTCATGTCTTTATACTCGGCGCTATTTAATCTTATATCTATATTTTTCTGCGTGTTTCTAATAAGAATTCGATTGCTTCTTTTTTTTAACTATTGAGTCAAAATCAATTGTTATGATACAATTTATTCATAAAAAAATTTTTATATCAAAATAAAGAATTTAAAAAAAATAGAAAAAAATTAGTTCATCGGTACATTAATTATCAATTGTATTTTTGAACACAGAAATTGTATTATGTTTTTCACACATGGATGAAAAGAATAAGTTCTTACATTGTCTTTATTAATTGTTAATTATTATGTGTTACGATTGCATTTTTTATTTTGTTATTTATTACTCACATATAATACTGTATAGTAAGTCTTAATGATACATAAGACATTTAATGAGCTTTATATAAAATTTATAGTTAGCCTTATCGTATCCTATAGCACCCTAATACTATTTTGAACTTATTTAATAAAAGTAAAAAAAGGAATTAACATTTTTATAAACAAAATACTGCTACTTTATGTTTGTTTTCATTAATTATCTTACATACAATTCTGTTATTGATACTCCAATAAGAGGATTAAAAGTATTTTTAATTCAAAATATGTAATGGTTGCTCATAAATAATTGTTTTCTGTTGGAAAGGATGGAATGTATTTAGCAATAGGAAGACTCAACTAACTGCACAAAAATATTTATCATACCATTATCATATAAAATTATTCAAATAATATTCAATATTTAATCACATACAAGTAATAATTTTCGTTAACATTATTGATAATATTATAAATTTATAATAATATTTAATAACACAAGCTTATAAAATTTGAATTTCATAACGTACTTAATTACTTAAAACAGAGTTATAAATATCATCACGCAAAACATTCAATTAGATTATTTTTAATTTTTCAAAGAACTATTTTGGCACTAGAATCCACTTGAAGTGATCTATAGCTTCAGTTTAAAAAAAAAAAGCTTAATTCGTTATTCATTATTATCTAGACAATTCATTTCTAAAAATTTGCAATATAGGTCATAAGAGATATTTTAATGGATTGAAACATTAGTTTATTTATGGTAATGTCATTCTCATTAAAATATCGAAAAAATTATTTTATAGATTTCCAATAAAAAATTTAATTTTTTTCTCATTTTCTCAGATTATTTTAATCCTATTAGTTAGTCTATTATGTATGATTACCATTTTTTCAGATACTTTTTGTTTAATTGGATTCCCATTAAACCAACACTTGAATCAAGACTTATTAAATTAACTCAGTTTTTTTCTTTCCCGCCACTGCATTTAAGTATTTAAATGAACTTCCAATTGTCTGATACTCTATATATATATTGATTGAGTTTTCAATATACTTTTGAAAAACTCTTAGTAATTTTATAAATTACAAAAATCCATTTGAAAATTAACTAAACTTTTACTACATTAGCTGTGTACTTATTTTCATACTGAAATACATAATTACTTGATGTATGTTATATTTCAGAGTTCACATACGAGGTATAATTCTTCACATTTCCAAAAAAAATTCTTATAAATTATTATTATTATAATAATAGGATCTTATATCGAGTTTATCATATATCAAATGGACATTTCATGATGCTTATTATTTAGGTAGAATCAGATGTACCGTTTATTATTACTTTTTTACACCACACAATTGAATTTACTCGCAAATATTCAATGACAATAATAAATACACATGAAACTGAATTAATCATAGATATGCCTGGTGCTTGCAGTTACACATATGTATATAGCAAAGTACTAGTATTCCTATGATTTGAGTTTCATTCATACGTCACTGACTGGCGGGTCTCGGTTCACACAATGTACAGCACGAAATTAACACTGTGCTATAACGTACGAGTTCGTTAGTCTCAATTGTTCTCTGTGGCTCGTATGTCTTTACGTTTTTATTCAACATAATCCCTTGAATCTGCGTCACGTCAAGAAGACAATGAGGTGAACAGAGTAGTCGTCAACGTACTGTTGGTTCGATCAACCATCTCTCACGACTCGAATGCTTTTTCTTCAGATTTAGCCAATTTATTGGAATGATAAGAGAACCAGACTCTAACATTTCTCTTGTAGCTTTCAACCATTCCCTACGAATTTTCACGTCGATTGAAGATCCATCGTAATAATATGTAAATGTCGACTTCTGCGTCAATTTGTCAAACCATCGAATATTCTCTCGATTCGAAAAATTAAATTTTAATTTTTTCCTAGTTTTTTTGTTTATTTTTTTGATAAAATCAGCAATCAGAAATATTATCATAGTAATTTTCTGATTGACAGTAGATTAATGATTTTTCTATTCCTGCTTCTATAAACGAAGCAACGTATAGTTTTATTACTTAATAAATTAACTTTCTTTTTCATCAATCGGACTAATTTCATTTTGAAGTAATTCAAACTTAGGACTTAAACTTGGAAGAATACTTGTTTTTATTTGGCTATAAATATCAATACCCTTTTTTCGATCTATTTCAAGAGAATCTTCAATAAGTCGTGGTGGGATACTACCACTTCGTTTGTGACTAGGAACAAATACACTACCTTCAGGGTTCTGATCTCGTGGTTTGGAATTTTTATGCTCCGGAGACAAAGTTCCATTTCCTAGTTTGTTTTTCTGCTCCTGCAGCCCCACCTCGGGCACTTCATCTTTGAACAGAGCTCCAGTTATTATTGGTTTACTAGGTTCCAACTTATCACAATCTCTGAGTAAACCCTTACGTTCCATGTTTTCCAACTTATTCGGAGTTGTACCATTTATTTGTAAATTCGGATTTGACCTAACAGTATCAGTTGAATTGCTAGCATCAGTTGAATCCTGGTGTTCTAATGATGATCCTGAATCCAAGGAACTGTCAATGTTATTTAATTTTTTCTGGAATGAAAAAAAAAACCATTCAAATAAAATAAAATTGTGGTTTATTGAATAAATAGAATGGAAAATTGGAAAAATAGAATTTACATATATTTCTAGAGAATTACTTACGTATTCATGATTCACTCCTTTGTCAAAACTAGAGTTTTCACACTCGTTGAGAAGTATCTTTTGAGTGTCAGGTGATTTATCGAATTCCACCCACTTAGAGACGCCCTCAAGGTTCCGAGAGATGAGGTCAGCCTTGTAATTTACATCATCGTACGTCGAATAGCCTAGCTGACTAGCATCATATTCTATTTGATTTCCATAGCGATAACTATGATTTACAGTACCATGACTAGCAATTGAAAGGTCTGATTGAGACAAGCCAGTATTGATGCTTCCAAAGAGCTTTGTGGTCCCAAATTCTGATAATAAGAGAACATTCATAAATGAAATGATTGTTTTATAAATTATAGTTAATTAGAACATTGAATTCTGCACTACCTGATGATTGATCTTCTGGAATTTCCTCTCGATGAACCAATGCTTGTTGATCAGTCACCCTGCATGTTACATCATCGATTAAACCAGTTGTAATGATATCTATATCATCTTGTAGATATTTTGGTTGAACTTCAACGACAAAAGAATTATCTTCCATCGTGACCTGCAATGAAAAATTATTTTTATTACTGAACAGTTTTATTTTTAAAAAATATCTTCCTAGTAAATAACTTGTTTCTTAACATTACAAAACTTTATAAAATATTTTAAACCGCTTCTTCAGTCAATTTAAGTAGATTATTTACGTTAAGAAGATTAACTATTTGATGGGGAGAAAGTTTTAAAAAATCTTATTACGAAATTGGCACAAAACTTTAGTGCAAGTTGAAAGTTTAAGTAGTTTATTTATCTTTACTGAATAAAGTGAATTTAAAAAAAAAAAATCATTCTGTTAATATAGTTCACGTGACTAAAAATTATTAAACAAATTTGTTCATTTCAAAACATTAAAATGTTTTATTCTTGTATTCATTTCAAGTACAGTGAAAACTACCAACTCTGGACAAATTTATTGCCAAGGTAATTAAACTCAAAGTCATACTCTCCCGTTATTTTTATCGCGCTTAGATTTATAAATATTGCATTTATAAATTAAAGAAACCAGTTTACAGTGTTTATTTTAATCAACGTGTTCTCTTAATACAGGCAAGCCGTGGTTATTTAAAACGATAGTTTTTTTACATTAAGATACTGATAGTGTATAAAAAAGAAATGCAGACAGTAATCTATATCAAATAAGTTTTAAAATACTGATCAACTCTAACGACATGCTATCGTATTGCTTCTTATCAGGTTTATTCATCCGAGAGAAAGTTCTTGTTGCGCTTTACGATCACACCTTAAAGAGTTCTCTGGGCTAATGATGAACGTCGCTGACTATATACATTTATATCTATAGGTGTAGTATAGCTATAGATAACGATCGATCACGCTTGAAGGTAGGTCAGTAAGATTCATCCATTGTTTCCCCTATCATTTAAGCTTTCCTAGCGTAACGTAATACACTCTACTTGACATTAGGAACATCGATCTGCTAGACATGACCCCAGTATCCATCAGATGACCGAGCGTTGTACAACTTCAACTAACAACATTGTCGCTGATTTGAATACTAGTTACTTCCGTTCATAGTTATGAGTAGTTTCTAAGTTTCCGAACATCTTTAGATAACTCACGAAATACAATAGCTTAATGTTAGAGTAAAGTATACATCTTACACCAAGTCTTCTTGGATTGTCACTGTAGCAGTACATGAGAGTTGTGCGGAGAATATGTAGCGAAAAGGTGATTAATTGTTCTCCAAGATTCACGGAACATCATCAAAATGAAATTAAGTTTGCTGTTGCATGCAAGTTTGGATTTAATTACTTTTCGGAGATGAAGAGTGTATGATGTTTTGTGTACGTGAGAAAGATCGTTTTACAGTTATTTATAAGATGGAAATATAATAAAAAAAATATTCATGTACTCCATTTTACTGAAAACTTTGATAGCATTGGAATAAACAGAGTGATACGGATTTTATAAAAGGGTGGTTATCAGGTGGAATCCTGATTCCTTGGTCCTGCTTTCATTCATTTTATGTTAAAAATACATAATTGTTTTCTGGAAGAAAATAGTTCATATCTATTCATGATCAATTTAGCATATTTAATTACACTATTTGATAATAATGTAATTGATGATAGACAATATTGTTCAGTATGATTAATAAAAAATGGATTGGAAATTGTTTAATAAACGTATATATCCGGTATCACTTATAAAGATACCACTTACGCCGTAAAATCTGAAACCTTGAACTGGTCGTGTGGAGGAAAGCAAGGTAGATATGCTTCATATATGGAAAATCGATTTTAGTTCATGATCATGCACGGTAGATTTGTCACATGGCTGCAACCAATCTATAAAGCTCAAATATAATATATTTGCCACTATTAGCTAGGAAATTCTGATATTTTATGATTTAAAATTTTACATTACCAGATGTAATAAACATAAATATGAAACTTTGTGGTTCCTGTATAATTAAGCAGTTTATCATTATGATTATTTGACAATGGAGATATGTAAATACAATTGTTTGTTTAAAATATATATATAAATTAAAGATGATAATATTTTCTCATTACACTTAAAATAATGTAAGGTGGAATGAATAATTCATCTCTTATCAAAAACATCTCAAAATATAACATTTTGTAATAGTTAATTTTAAATGAGTAATTTTGGTCTTTGAAAATTAACGACGTAGATAAAAATACCATTAAGAATACCTTCTAAGTACATGAAAAAGAAGAGCTGGTTTTACATCGTAAAAAAAAATAGGTCAAGGACTGAAGCTTATACAATTTATTATTTATTGTATATTTATTTTTTCTAATTTTTTTTTTTAATAAAAGTGACTCTAAGAATTTTATTATCTTTTCTCATATTTTATTTTTAATCTTCTTTAATTATTCTTTTAATCATATTTTATGAAATATGTTATAAAATAAGACAAAGGAATGTCATAATAAATTAAATTTACCGATAGAAATATTCTGTGTTGTTTGATAGGATAAATGGAGAGATGCTTAATGAGAATATTAAATGCATTGCATTATGTCAAATTAATATTGACAATAATTTAGTGAATAGTAACGCCCATTGACTGTGTACGTAATTAGCTTTTGTTCAACCAATCACAATTAATATAGAAACCACAGTGGGAAAAATAGTATTATCTGTTGATTTATTTCAATAATTACAATCATAAGCTATTAGAGATCATAAAGACAATTTAAGAACTATTAATTTATTACATGTTCTTCCTGTCATGGCTGTCTTATTCAACAACTTCTTCATTACTCATTTAACTTATATTAATAATAAAGCTTTTCTTCATAACTCTGTTATTAGCACGTTAATATCAAACTTGATCGTAAGAGAAGCTATGCTGAAATATTGATTGCCTGTAAGCAATATTGCAAAGTTTAATTTATTCAATTTGTCTTAAACAAGCTAGTTAAGTTTTATAATAGAACATATTATAGCTTATCAAATAGTATACAATTCAAAATTGTTCCCTGAGGATTTGAGTAATTGCATAGTTAACAAATTCAGACGGTAATAGGAAAATGTTTACGTCATAATAGTTTGAAATTAAAAATATTCTGTGAATTGTTTGGAAATAGTGATGATATTATAGGTAATAAGAGGTCAAGAGATTCATCGAGACACGTACTCAGTCAGCAACTTGAGAAAAAAAAAAGTAGGACCACTGAGACATTGCCACAACTATATACTACTTTCTGTCATCACAGCACGCTTGAAGAAATCTCCACTAAGAATAGAAAGATGTCTAGTGTATTCACAATGAAAACTGAAACACCTGAGGATTGCATACAATATATGATGTCAGAGTATTTGAATAAAATATTGTACAAACTAGAGAACCAATGGAATAACTTCTATTAAGTGTAATTAAATGAGTTAATGGTTTAATAAAATTAATTAACTCCAGAATGAATTTTATACTAATGAACTGTTTAACTTATTATTCTTGGAAATTCTTTTATTAAACTTTATTAATTATTTAGCGAATTGAACTTATATACAATAATTAAAAAGTTTTTGCTTTTGAATAAGTTTTATACGTGATGGTCTGATGAAGTTGATCTTGTGTTGTGAATAATGGAAAAATACATTGAAGCTGGAAATTTAATTTGCCTAGGAAATGAGCCAACGACTGCTGTCGAGTGTATTTTATGTTTCAGAATATTTTCTGACGAGGACCAATATATAAAAATTTCGTTCCCCGAATTTTCCCAAGTGGAACTATGAGGAACGTTTGGGAAACAAAAATTTTTTTTTTTTTTTTTTTTTTTTTTTGAAAATTGTTACATAATGACATAATGGTATATTGGCGAAATACTGTAAAATATGAAAATGTGCATAACTTATATACTAATAATGCTACGGGGTTGATCGAGGACTCAAATGGAAGATCTCGACGAAAGGAAAAAAGTCAATATAGTTAAAATTATTTTCGGACCATAATTAATGCTAAAATTAAAGCAAGTTCCCATTTTACCCCATTTTAGGAGTGAAATAATTGATTTTTTATATTTTTGACCTGATTCCGTAATTCTAGGCATTGAGAGGAAGAGAATGAGTGGTCAAACTTGAAAATCGGACAACTTTGATTTTTCGACCCTAAAAAATGGCAAGTGGTACCCCTTTCCATTTTTTAAGGCCAAAAAATAAAAGTACTCCGATTTTGATGATTGAGGGCTCATTCTCTTTGTCTTGATACGTAGAAATGCAGAATCGGGGCACAGCTCGAAAAAATCCACTTCAACACCCTCAAATGGGGGTAAAACTGGATACAAATTATAGAGAATCATCCCCTTGACTTTAAACCCCTATAACTTATGAACGGACGGTCCAATGAGCGTTTTTAGGGACGTTTTTGAAACCTTAGAATCTAAGCTAAATATGCATATCCATGAAAAATGTTTAAAAAATTTCCTTCACCCTTAAAATGGCTAAAATATAAAAAAAAATCACACTTTTTGAGGAGGTTGTCAAGCATTTTGGCAATTTCAGGGGTGAAATAAATTTTTTAAACGTTTTTTATAAATACGTATTTTTAGCTTAGATTCTGAAGTTTCTAAACACCTCTTAAAAATCATTATTTGATGACTATTATGAGAGTTACAGACGTCCAAAGTCGAAGAGAGGGCCAAAAATCATCTACTCTTCGACTTTGGACGTCTGTAACTCTCATAATAGTCATCAAATAATGATTTTTAAGAGGTGTTTAGAAACTTCAGAATCTAAGCTAAAAATACGTATTTATAAAAAACGTTTAAAAAATTTATTTCACCCCTGAAATTGCCAAAATGCTTGACAACCTCCTCAAAAAGTGTGATTTTTTTTTATATTTTAGCCATTTTAAGGGTGAAGGAAATTTTTTAAACATTTTTCATGGATATGCATATTTAGCTTAGATTCTAAGGTTTCAAAAACGTCCCTAAAAACGCTCATTGGACCGTCCGTTCATAAGTTATAGGGGTTTAAAGTCAAGGGGATGATTCTCTATAATTTGTATCCAGTTTTACCCCCATTTGAGGGTGTTGAAGTGGATTTTTTCGAGCTGTGCCCCGATTCTGCATTTCTACGTATCAAGACAAAGAGAATGAGCCCTCAATCATCAAAATCGGAGTACTTTTATTTTTTGGCCTTAAAAAATGGAAAGGGGTACCACTTGCCATTTTTTGGGGTCGAAAAATCAAAGTTGTCCGATTCTCAAGTTTGACCACTCATTCTCTTCCTCTCAATGCCTAGAATTACGGAATCAGGTCAAAAATATAAAAAATCAATTATTTCACTCCTAAAATGGGGTAAAACGGGAACTTGCTTAAATTTTAGCATTAATTATGGTCCGAAAATAATTTTAACCACATTGACTTTTTTCCTTTCGTCGAGATCTTTCATTTAAGTCCCCGATCAACTCCGTAGCATCATTAGCATAGAAGTTATGCACATTTTCATATTTTACAGTATTTCGCCAATATATTATTATGTCATTATGTGAAAATTTAAAAAAAAAAAATTTTTTTTTTCCCAAACGTTCCCGATAGTTCCACTTGGAAAAATTCGGGGAACGAAATTTTTATATACGAGGAATTTCAAATTTTGCTAAGATTTCCATCGATCAGTTTCAATAAATGATCTATTCAACTTAACCCAGAACAGTTCATTACTTGTTTATATTGCATACCGTCATATTCAAAGTAAACATATCAGAAATTGGCTTCCAGCCAGGATGAATATTCTACAGATGTGTGTAAAACACGTTGCACATTTCTCAGGAAACCCACTGACGTACTCCAATTTCTATGCATTTGGAGGTTTTATACTGTTTGTAAAGAGCTGTTTGACTCTAAGTTCATTTACCATTGAATTCGATTCCAAAAATACAGCACACGCCTCATTTCAATTTTATGACAGTTATTTCATCTCGTAGCTTTTGAGATATCTATTTTATTTCCAGATAAAATAGATATCTCCATATTTGAAAATATTCAAATGCCAGAATTTAATTATCACAAAAATATTTACTAAATACCGTATTTTTCAACAACATACGAAAGAGTTTCGTAATACCAATGGTTTTGTTTTGCAACAATACTACAATTTAGAATCAATCATGATCAAATTTTTTTTTCCACTAAAGAAAAGGCAATTTTTCGATATTTGTGCATGGTACCGTGGTACGTTTCTATACCAACCCTATCGTTCGGCATCGCGTCACGATCCACGCCCTTCCGCTGTTCGATCGTTTAGTCAGTCTGCAAACGACACAGGATGGTTGGGAATGCCAAGTTCACAAGTCCCGGGAGAGATGAGTTTCCCGGGCGTCCTGGTTCTATATAAGAAGAACTATAGACGGAAATAGAATTGCCTTGGTAACCTTCACCCCGTCTTAGTCAACGAAACTTCAATAATTGCAAATAATTCCTCTTTGTTAGAAGAACATAACTGACAGACTGGAACAATTCCCATTCACATAATTTCTCCAGATTCCTACGAATTCCAACATTATATTAATTCTTTTCCCCTTCTTTCATCTTTTATGTGATATTTTTCTCTATACTCTATATTCTTCTAATTTTTGCTCAATGTGTAAAAATTAAACTCATATTTAATTTCATTCTTCAAACACACCTGTTACGAAATACAATCAGTAATTGTTCTTTATAAACCTTTAAAATATGATGAGTGTATGAAATGTCTTCCAATTACATTGAGTCTCAATTATCAGGAATCGAATAGCAGTTTTAGCTGATAAACTAGTGAATAAAGTAATCTAGAATGAATAGTAATATGAGAATTGGCGAATGATTCTATGGATTATTTGAGTTTGTGATATTAGATAGGCTCGAATTATATTATTGTATAAGCCAATTTATAGTTTTCACCCCAAGTTGTTATTAAATTAAAAATATTTTTATAAATAAAATATAAATCTAAAGAAGGAGCAATTGATGCAATGAGAAAAAACAAATTTATTGAATAACAAAATTATTATGGTAATAAAATAAAGTAGAAGAAAGAAGAATAATAATATTAGCATGATAAGCTTCATTTTGATTCTTTTTTCGTCAACTTGTATAGCAAGTTGTTTTCACTTAGACATTCGCAAACAACATTTTATAACTTCAGGCGTGTCCAAAAGTTCACACGTAGTTAGAATTTATATGTTGAAAGAGCTTTTATTCATCTTTTCTTCTACCTCATCTCTGCAACTTTTTTCGACTTCGTCATTCGGTAGAAAAAGAAAAAGGCTAGAGAAAGTTTCTTCTTCATACACTCACCGCCCGTTCCTCGGTCTCGACGATGAGATGGTTATTCTTGAGCGTGAGGGTGATGATGTTGCCATTGGCGTTTTTACCCGAGTGGTTCCCAGGAGATGCGAACTCTACGTTGCTGGCTGCAAGAGCTACTTCGTCCATTACTTCCGTCTCACAGATGTACCTTGGACCATTGAGACCGTTTACCAACTGAAATCAAAAAAGATCAACTTGATGACTCAACTACTCCTGTAATATAACGAAAGCTCAATGAAACATCTAGACGTGTGGTCGATGGAACACCTAAATTAATGGTGACAGTTGGAACGTGCTTTTCACGAATTTTCATTGCCAGTAATTTACTGATGCTTCACCACCATTATCGTTCCCTTTTACCTCTCTACACACATATTTTGTGACCATAGCACCACTGAACCGAGTATAAGCTCAAATTGCGGATGAGTGGACTGAATGTCTCGTCGATTTAGTTAATCGTTGGTCAAATATTCGTTAGAACAGAATAAGTTTTAATTTCATTTTCCATTTCAGTTATTAGTCAAATCAATTTATGGTTTTCTCGATAAACGAATAAAAGTTATCGGTCATTACTACGGGAGCACGTTTAATAGTTTTGAAACACTAATGAAAAAGCTTGTCGAGTAACAAGGCAAGTTAAATATACAAACATTCAATTTCAAAACTGGTAAAGTATTTTATATCAACAATATTCTCTATTAATTATTTATAGAAAATTATACGATGCTGTTAAAGGAGAAATTTAATGCTTGCTAATCAAGAGCTTAATTAATATAAAATTGTTTAGGTTAAAACTCGAGTTTTTCGATACATCAATGAAATCGTTGTGGAAATTTTCAATTGTCTGAATATTAAATAACAAGGACGTGAAATGATCATCCCTTTTGCAGTATAGAACAAATCAACATAGAAATGAGCTTCAAGCGATTGAGGTACCAACTAATATATCCTTCAATGCGGTTGTAATCAATTTCATTTAAACTAAAGCTCACTCTATTCGATTGTAATAATTAATTAATTCTTCAAATGCAGCCATGTGGATCATTTTGTGATGTACAATACCGTAAAATACTCATGTTCGAAGCTAATAAAATCATCGCAGTGAGTGAAAGAACTTTTTTTTTTTATTAACAGCGGTGACTCTCTCACTTGTTTTGTTGTTTTTTATTTTTTCCTTTTTTTTTGTGGGAGATATAAAAAAGTTGCTATCACAAAGATCAATGGCAAGGCTCGATGTGAGTTTATTAAATATTGATCTTGTCGAAATCGAAGGTAAAACTTTTACTTTTGTCGATAAACCACAGACAAGATGAAATGAAAGAGCAACGTGCGATAAAAAAAAAACTCCACGAAAAGAAAAAGTGCAATTTCGTAGAAAAGACGCGCCTGCCGGAAGTGGTGACGTGGAGTCGCGTAAATGATGCATGAGTAGAACAAAGTTCCACGTAATTTATTTACAACATGACGGATCACCGAGCTTGCAGATAACTTCATTCTCATCAAAATAGTGTGTAGTTTTAGAATTATAAATCAAATTTCGGTTAAACGTTTTCCATCATCTACTTGATATCTCATTGAAGAGAAGATGTTTGGAGTAACTATCAATTTTTCCTTAAATATAAATACATAACATTAAAAAGAAACATGATATTCTTGAATATTATGATAGAGAATGAAATTATTCTTGATCTAAGGATAGGGTTTTGTGAATGTAATGAACAGAAAATTATTATTCTATGAAGAGTAATGGAATTGAATTGGAATCAATAATGATAATTGGTGAAATATTGCCATCAGGACAATTATTCAGTCCTTAGAATCAAATAGTTGGAATACATATAAATTTACCTTCTGAGTACCCTTTAGGATAACCATCACTTCAGTAAAGATGTATTCATGATTCATCTGCATGCATTCTCTAGGGGTAGTATTGTTCGATATAATTATAACTTTCTCCATGTGTAACGTGGAGTTTTATTGGAATTTCAAGAGGAAAAATGCATTAATAATTTCTAGTTCCAGATTTCTGCTGTAACTATATTCATGGAATTCATACTTTAATTATTGTGATGTAGATTTTATGATAGAGTGAGTAGCTTTGGTATGTGTTAGGAATGCTTTAATAAAGTTTATTTTATTTCTAATAAGTTAGTGTAATAGTTCTGCCAGAATAATACCTACCATCATTTCCTTCTCGCTTTTAATTTTTACCACAATTAAAGTTTAGAATATTTTTCTTTTTTCTGGCTTTAAAAATATTATTTTACTTTGATGAACTTGTGGTGGAATGAAAATATATTTTACATACTTTTGACTTTTTCCCTGTACTTTCCGTTGCTTCACTAGTTTCTCTATATTGAACATCTTCGTTTTCACATGATCAGTGTAGCAAAGAAGTCTGCTCTAGTAGTTTCCTATTGGCTCATTTTTCCTATTCAATTTGTCAATCTCTATTGTATTGTCGTTGATAATTTAGCGAGGTATAAAAGAAACACGGATAGAGCTATATCTTATTTTAAGATACTTTTTCACCAGAACTTGAGCTGAGATGTTTTTGTAAGGGTACGTAATTTGTTAGAAGTTAATGGCTAATTGGTAATTATGTTAAAAAAACTTCACTCTAAAAAATAAATATGAAAAACTGCCTTAAAAAAATTCCTACTTCAATTGTAACAAGTGCATTCGAAATTAATTTATTTTGGCTCACTTTAATTATTGAATTTTGCTAAGAAATGTTTATATTTCAACAAAATTAAATTTATTCAGAATTAAAATTCTTTTTTTTTTTGTAATAAAATTATAATTTTAGTACCTATATATCACATTATAGAGGAAAACACATAAAACTTGATGGGAATAAAATTTTCATACATTAAATTAACTTCCATCGATAAAATATATAATTTCACATTCAAGAAACTTTTTAAAATTTATTTGAATAGGAAAAATGTAATGCTGATGTAAGTCCTTCTTTTTCTTTGTGTGTTTTAAAGTTCGCAAAAGTAACTGCGATATTTAGTCGAAGTAGAATAGCAAAGATGATTAGATATTTATGCATTGAGAGAAATATATAGTTGTATTTACTGTTATTAGATCAAAAGGGAGTCAAAGATCAATTTTACCTAGAGTGTGGGAACAAATTCGCCATATTTTATTTTAATTAAATCCAATTTCTTCATGAAAATTAATGCAATTGCTTTTAACTTGGTGTCTGGTGGAGTAAAGCTTTACATGATTTAATTTTCTCGAAGAGGTATTAATATTTTGAAAATAGATTTATTTCAGGTACAAACTTTTACTCTCAACACTAACTTTACTAAGTTGATTATTTTGTGAAAAATGTCCTTGAGGAAAAATTCAAAAATCCCTGAATTTTACAATCGTTCATTTAGTCGTGCAACGAATCGTAAAATAAAAAGTTAAATATGATTATGAAAATTTACAGTTGCACCGAGAGTCTGCCGATAATTTTGTCGCTTCACTTATCGCGCATACATAAAAAAGCCCAAGTTTTCGAAGCGTACAAGAGTAAGTTGACGCCGCAAAGTCGACGAGCTTTAGTCGTTAAACTATTTCATGGCCTTTTGCGAACAGTTTTTCCATTTTTCTTTCATACATATTATGAGAGTAACTCCTCTTTGATTACGTAAAAAATAGTTACAAAAAGAAGTGATAACAAAAACACGTTTTGAGCTAAAAATACTTTAATCACAATAAACCTTCAGCTTTATTTTTTGCGACAGGGTCATGAGACTTTTTAACTTAATATCAATTTTAAAAAATTATTTTTAAAAATTAAAAAATCCCCGGGATGTTTGTTGAGTTACATTAATTTATTGACATACTTTTTTACACAAAGAATTATTTTTCTTTTGTTAGCTTTTTACAGTTTGCAAAAGAAAAAATCTATTTTTATCAAAAGCAGTGTTACTTTGGTGTATGATGAAGTTTTTTTGAAAAAATTAATTGCAACGACAAAGTAAGCCTTTGTTTTTGTTTCGATAAAATTTTTTGTTGAAGATTTTTTTTATGAGTACTTCTGTGTCTTCAATAATTCTGAACCTTAGAGTCTTTAAAAAAGACATCTTTGAAGTTATATTCTTTCATAATAAAACATCATTTTCATTTAAGACATGAAAATGTTTAAAATGATTCTTAAAAAAAAGTAGTTGATGACGTAAATTATTTTTAAGTGTGTTTTTAATTTTTAATATTTTTAACTTTCCATTGAAATAATTTTTTATGATCTTTATAATTATTTTAAAATAGAAGTGAATAAACATAAGTCTAAGAAGCTATTCACATAACAAGATAACATTTGTATTCATTTTGTTTACAAGTATTTAAAATTACTTGTAGCAGAAACATTTAAATAACTCATTTAATAGACATTAAATAAATCCCACTAAATAATATATCTTTTTTCAAATTTATCTCAATCGTATTTCTATTGAATCATCTAGGTTTTTTAGTGATAATGTGCTACTTTTCCACTTTAATTTACTCCATAGAAAGCTCGAAATAATTTCTTTCAGGTTCCCTACTTATTAAGTCAATAATCTTTGTTAAATTTCAAAAGTCATATTACGCCATACGAAATCGATGAGCCGGAGATATTGGGATGTCTTCGTATTTTCTCCAAGACTATTTTCAATTTCATGATGCCGAGAATTCAGTTCGCCACACGATGCTCGTTCACAAGGGAAAAGAAATTGCCAATTTAAGCGAAATGTCGTCTCCGGAGGATAGGAAAACGTCTGTAACTAATGTGGTCGCAATGCCTCGATAGCCACTGCTTCGATATCCGATACTCTCAACCGTCTCCATAACCATACCACCATACTCTGTCCACTCTTTTTCCCTACATTCTCTGATAGCTAACTCGCTTTCTTTTCTTTCTCACACATCGCAGCTCTTCCTTTCTAACTTATCGATCCTTTTTTTTTATATACCGTGCGATTTTTTTCTCCTACAACACCTCATATCCAGTCATCTAACGAATTCCTTCGATTGTCCGGTCAATTTCCCCTGTTTTGTCGCCTAGGTTTCACCTTATATCATCAAATATTTTTTTAATCCTCTCACACAGCACAAGAAATTATAAATTAAAAATCAACCCGATAATAATTCTAAGATTAATTATTTTTACCATCTACTTTTTGATATCATGGGAC